AGGCCTCGTCTCCACGCTGTGTGAACACTTGCAGGGACGGTGACTGCAGCCCTGCCCTGGGCAGCCTGTTCCAATGCCTGAGCACCCTCTGGGGCAGGAATTGTTCTTCAGCTCCATCCAAACCTGCCCTGGTGCAGCTTGAGGCCGTTTCCTCTTGTCCCATCCCTTGTTCCTTGGGAGCAGAGCCCAGCCCCTCCTGGCTCCATCCTCCTGTCAGGCACTTGTAGGCAGCGATCAGGTCCCCCCTGAGCCTTCTCTTCTCCACACTGAACCCCCCAGGTCCCTCAGCCCTTCCCCATCACACTTGTGCTCCAGGCCCTGCACCAGCTTTGTAGGGGAGTAGGCTACAGCTGGGCCCCACAGACTGCTTCTGGAATCGCTGTTTACAGGCCCTCACTAACAAGCTGCGTAACTTGGATTTAAGATTGTTTCAACACTTAAACAGAGGTTTCAACTGAATTGTGCTTGTGCATTCATCTGTATCCCACCACAGAAACTGGGTACACTCATCTAGTTATCTGCAGCACATGACTACGGCATCTATGCTGATGCCCCACACAGGCACAAGACAGCAGATATAGTCCACGGGAGAAAGCTGGGTAAGAGAAAACTAAGAGATGGCTGGGTAACCAGGGCTGCCCAAATTAAACAGCCATTGCACACACAGCACCAGAACAGCAGAGGGTTTGTGTGAAGAGATCACACCACCTAGCCTAAATTCTGTGGATTGAGAAAGGAAAAATAGCAAGGGGAAAGAAAAGGAGAGATTAATCGCACAGGGGGAGGGAGGGAGGGAGGGAGCACTCCCAAACACTACTGCTTTGCAAATTGCAGCTACACCAGCTCTGCCAAACACACTTTCTCCATCATCTTGTGGTGCCTGACCTCTTGCAATTTTACCTTGCTCTGAACACCCCTGTTTCTAGTTTCCTGCCATGGGCTTAAGATGAACGCAATAATCCACAGTATTAGCTAAAAGAGGAGAAAATTTGTCACAGAAACTAGATCTTTTTACCCTGTTATGCTTCCAGGCAACCAAATGAGAAACTTCCACTCATTTACATCTCTTAACTCAGACTCATCACTTCTTTCTTGTGTTTTTCAGTCAAAAGCATATAAAATTACACATTCTAATGCATCATTCACAAGTGGTATTTGGAGGAAGGAGAAGCAGGCAACTGCTCTATGGGACAAATAGCTCTCCACACCATTTGGCTAACAGAGCAAAGAACCCCAAAGAAAGCCTATGCAGCAAGGCTGAAGAGAATCAGGCAGGGGGGAACTTCAACCTGATGTGGAAGAAAACCTCATTGTTCAGCCAGCTGTCCAACATACATACCATTTGACTGGAGCTCATCAGAAAGTTCCATATAAAGCAAGCTTTTGTTAAAGAAAAATCTACTGGGTTGATTTAAGAACACCTTGGTTTAAACCACCAAGTTCAGAGTGTGTTTCTGGAGCCCCAGGCAGAGTCCCCAAAGCACTGGAAACCTGCTCAGGTGACCCTGGGGATGCTGCAGCTCTCAGTTGCTCCTGAAAGTGATGCTCACTGACCTGTCAGGACCTGGGAGCTCTCAGCTCATCGGGCATTTTAAGAAGGTATTTTTTTACCAATCTTGGAACATACTTTTAAAGTACATTTGGTGCAGGATCCCCAAAACTGTGATAAACAGAAAGTTTGCAGGGTATCCTGTAACTTCTGATAATGCTTATGGATAGCCTGGAGTAAGGGCTCCCCGCAGGAGACAATTTTAGATGATGTAGGAATAGGAGAGGAGAGCACTCACCACTTCTGAACAAGAGGAGCACAATCAGAATATATCAATCTGAAAAGGGCTGCAATGCACATGTAACAGAAAATACAGAAACCTTACTTTCCAGAGTAAGAAAGAGATTGCCACTGCAACCATTTGCTGTAAAATTATGATCTGGGATTCATAGTGAAGGAGGAAGAAGAGTTAAACTGGTTTCTTTCTATGAGAAAATAAGTTTAGGCATTTGCATGCATAACATTTTTATGGCTGCTAACACATGGGAAATCCACTTGAATGTAGAGACACATTGGAAAACCTGCAGTCATCACTCAAGCATTTGTCTATATGCAGCTGAAACTTCTTCATACTGGTAACAACATACATTTTTATCCATCACACGCTACCAAAGGAGAAGACAAACAGGAAAAACATGCTATTACCCTTTAGTTCCCATTATTTTTGTCATGTACCCTGACATGGACACCTTTCTATTTTGTTGTCTTTATTCCTCTACATTCCAAAGTAGAAAATACACGTCGGCAAGCATCACTGGTTGCTCACTGGCACTTTTACAAGTAGTAGAAACACACATAACATTTTAATTAATCACATTCTTAAGAAATTAAAGCTAGGAGCACATTCTACTCTATTTTTCTACCCTATTTCCCAGAAACATCCAGCATTTCCTAAAATATCTTCCAATATTACAGCAGTTAATTTTTTGCAGCCTTCTGGCCCTTACTGATCAAATAACGAAGTTGTGCTTTCCATTCTAAAATACGTTCCCACACAATTAGTCCATTCTTATATAAATCTATGTTTTATATACATATATGCAATGAAGCTAGTTAGATATATATTATTAGTATTATATACAGATATTCTTATACAACTATAATAGGATTGGGAGAAAGTAAATAACCTGTCTCATGGCTCTGTTAAACAGGTAAGAATAAGCATGGCCTGGAGATATCCAGGATTTGTAAAATCCCAATGAGCACTGAAATTTCCTCAAATACTCCAGGAAATAAGCAGTCCAAGACAGTAATCCACACTACTTCAACAGGAAAAGAAATAATTTCACAGTAAAATTTCCTTCAGATATATTTCCTACTCATTCTGGTCAAACCACAATATCAAGGAGTCAGAAGAGAAATACATAAAAGCATTGTTATACTTTTATCAGCATTTCTACCAGGAGCAGCTCTGTGCCATGCCAGTATTGTCATTCATGCAAAGACAGAGCTGCTATTCAGTTACATTCTTGGGTATTCTACATTTAACCTTTCTTTTTGACAGGGAGCCTCTGATCCGGCCAAATGCTGTTCCAATAAGCAGCAAGCTCCAAATCCAACAACCAGGTGCTTTTTCCAGCTGCTGTTTGACTGCTGTAAACACAAGCAGCTTACAGCTGGTGCTGTGTTGATTGTCCTTTGGGCATCTCTTCCCAGTGATCCTAGAGTCTCTAGTAGACTCTGAGGAGCACTATAGCTGCTCTCACTCCTGCTGCAATACACTTTGGCCACTCTGCTGTATTGAGGCCTCTGTTCAAAGACTACTACTAATATTTCATTTTCCTATTCTTGTATTTCTGCATGAGAGCTCTACGAAAAACGTGTGACCACATGAACCTTCCCCATGCCACAGAATCCCTTCTACTGTCTATTTTTACAAACATTGATGCATTGAAGCATGTTAGTTCTCTGTATTGTGCAACAGTATCAATGCATTTTAGCTTTCTCCAAGTATACGAACACAAAGGGTTAGATTATTACAGTCTAACCAGAACACATGAATAAAGCACAAGAGATTTTTGAGTCATTTCTCAACATATTTTGCAGAATCTAATTTTAGAAAAGGAAAAAAATACAATCCTTCTCCTAGCATGTGAATATTGGTCTTCAAGTCTATTCCATCTATTTTTTATACTTTTATGAAAACCTCTTCAGATTTAGTTTATGTGATTTCTAAAAATGGGGCAATTGTAACTTTCTGCAATAGAAACAATAATAAAATGATTCTGCAGAGAGATGAATTATTTACTCTGCATAAAGTTCCTCCGCAGAGGCTGAGAATATTGTGTTCCTGGTTCACCAGAGGAAATGACAATAAAACAGCTGAAATAATCTGAACTCAGTTATGAGAACAGTTTGCTGAAGCCCCTGTGAAGAACATGAAGTTTAAATAAATCAGAAGCGAGGAAGCCTCTTTTTTAAAATATGGTTTCTGAAATAACAATAGCTTTTATCCAAATTCCAGGCTAGGGACATAAGTAGGAATAAAATAAAGTTGTCTGAAGTTGGCCTCTGGCTGTGGCAGCGTCGGCTCAGGACTGCTGAGAACCCTCAATACTCATTTATGTCAACAGGCATTAGCAGTTCTTAAAGCAGGATTATGTGCTTTCACTTCTGGCCTCTTTACCATTCAAACATCAAATGCAGGGTGTTATAGACTGGATGTTTGATACACCTTCAGAAATAACACGCTCATCTATGTGAAGAAACAGGAGAGCTCTGATATTCAACACTACAGCGCTTGGGTCTTGAAGAAAAAATCCCTCTGATGTAGAAATTCTGGGCTGTGCACTGTTGTGCCTGCCCCAGTTCTGACAGTTCTGATCTGAAACAGTAGGTGAACAATCTCAGCAACAGAAGGAACAACTGAAAATGCTCCCTTGGGAGAAAAGAAAGTGGAAGTATGATGGGGTGGGGGTTCCCATCCTTAACTGCAGTTGTCTCCCAGATTCTGATGCTGTAAATGCTGGTGTGGACTCCTACTTTTAAACTATGCATCTCAGGCATCACAGAGACCCTGCCTAGATCACCACTAGCACGTTTCTTGGCATAATGGAGATCAAAGTGCTTTATAACATCTGCTTATGCTCTCTGTGCTCCAGTGATTTAAAGATGGCAGTCTCAAACACTCTCTATAACGCATTGTTTGACACTACTTTAGAGTCTATGTAGGTAAGAAAAACCCTTAAAAAAATTCCCCAAAATCTTGGCTGGAGAGTCTCTAACAGCAAAAAAAAAAACAAAAACAAACCAATCAACCCTTGGCTGAAGATCCAAGGGAAGCAATGGATTTTAAACATGCAGGGGAAAACGAATCTCTTTTTATTATGGAAAATACAACTCCAGAGTTGACTAAAGAGTGTGAAATCAAATGCCACTCAAGCAAAAGAGAATGCAGTGGAATGACTTCATTCCTTCCCGGTTCATAAAGAAAATGTAAATATAGAGCATTTAATTCCTCAATAGAGAAATGTTCTTTTCATTCACATGTTAAGCAGGGATTAAAGATACAACAGGTTATAACTTAATCCTTACTATGTTTGCTTTTCTTGAAGCATCACGGGATATTTTGGCATGAGTGGTTTTTTTCTTGGTTACCACCTCAAAATCAGGTTCCCTTAATTCTACGCAGTTTTTTGTTATTTAAAATAAATTCATTTTATTACTGTTTTCTTAATGCTACTTGAAGTACAGTTGAACAATACTCAGAACTAGCAAAAATCTCAGCTTTGAATTACTGAATGACATGTTCCCACAAAAGATCTGAGGGTGCCAGAGGCCACATAATCCAAGTCGCAATATTAGGCATCTTAGTCATATGAGTCTTTACATGACTGACTTCTCTTTCTCTGAGAAAAGACTCCCAGAAGCAAAGTTATACCCTATGCAGCATCAAATATAATGCGAGATTCTTCTGGAAATAACTGTGCATCCAAGCAAGATTTAACGCCTGCATTGAGCATGTGCTGCTCTTCTAGCTGATCCTGACAAATGGCACTGCAAACCACTTGTGTGCCTCCAACCCAAGCACACAAATGGAGTAGGAAATAGTTCCAGTGAGTTTACTGTTCTGCAGAATATCAAACAAACCTCCTGCTAACTGCAAACACCAAGCTGTCAAAGCAAATGTTATTTTTTTTTTTCCCCTGTTAAAATGGTCATGCAAAACACACTTAGCAATATTTCATGAGCACATTCAGGCCAGACAAAAGATGGGAACAGGAATTTAAGCAGGACACCTTAATTAACTTGTCACAGAAAGAGCAAAAGGGCTGCTGTGAGACACAGTGGGTGCCGCCCGAGTCTCAGGCTCCCAGCACCGTGAGTCAACATGCTACCATGGCACTGCGTTTACACAAGTCACCTTCCAGGTTTGGTTTGGGTTTTGTTTTCCCTTTGTCTGTGACAGGTGTGCACGCACCACAGATTGTCAGGCAACTTCATCCAGGCTCCATCCAAGGAGATGGCGGCATTCCTGTGCCTCCCCCCATCCCACTGGGATCCAGGCTATGCGCTCGCCTGCCCTGGCCTAATGCTTGGGGCAGGGGACACAGCTTTGCAAGCCAAACTGCTTTTGGCCCCAAGGTCGAACAGTGGCTCCTTCAGGTCTCTGTCAGACTGACACGGGGTAAGCAAGCATGCGTGCCCACCTCTATGTAAATGTTTTTCTTATTTTCTTATACAGCCTCTTCAACAATCCTTTAAACTGGCTCCTAGAACAACTCTTCCCATCAGGGAATTGTCCAACTCTGAAAACTACAATTTATACTCTTACCTTGTTGTTTCAATGGGAAATGTAGGTTAGAGAAAGGCTTTAGATTAAAGACAGCAACCCAGAGTAAATGAACACAAAGCCAAGTATTTTTTCCCTCAGACAAACCTCCATCAGCTGACTGGCAGGGCATCCTACAGGTTCATGCCCAAACAGCACTTCTGTTAGGAACAGCACCTTTGCAAAACACCATCAGACAGGTAAGTAAGAGAAGTTCAAATTCTATAATGGCATTCATTCAACAAATGCCAGGATCTTTTTCTCTGAAAAGAAACTCTTAGAAGCACGACAAGGTATTGCTTCAGAGGGATGCATTTATCAGGTGGTTGAAGAGACTGCCAGGACCCCTCACACTGACCACTGTGGTTCCCCTCTGCCTCCCATGTCCCCACACCAGCTCTGAGGAGATGCAGCAGCACAGTTGGTCATGGCTGACCTCAGGTTGACTGCACCTGCACAGGTCTGCTCTGTGTAGGACACAGCAACTTTCTAGCAGCTTTAACAGTTACTGTTAAAGACTCTTGATCATCACTTGGTTCCTTAAGCAGCCATGTCCAACTAGGTTAAAATGCAACATTCCAACCTCAGCATCACCTACTCCCAAACCTGACACATTTGTGAACAACTTCCAAATTCAATGTTTTCTCAAAGTCAAGGCTCACAGCTACTGCTTTTTGGCTTAAAAGTCCTGTTAGTGAACCAAAAACATTCTCAGGCAAAAATACCTTCTGTGGCTACCGTTTTCTAGTACTTCAGTTATTGTGGAGACCAAAATGGAACAATACTCCTGTAATATCCCGGTAAAGGATTGGAGCTGGTTAGTAGAAGCTAGGTGGCTTCATAATTCAACTGCATTCCTTGCAGATGCTTTTTTCTGAAAATAAATCTTTAACCACACCAACAGTGAAAATGTTCAACAGCAAATCGCTGTCATGGTTGCATCATTATGACCACACAACTTTGTGATCAGAAGTCAAGTGGTTCTCAAGAGTTAAATGACTCCATTATCCCACTCTATAAAGAGAAAGACAGGAGATGTCAAAAGGACACTGAAGTAGTTAATCTGAGTAAAGCCTCAGCAAGGAACAGGAAAACCCATAAATCCCAAATTTGTAAATGTCTGTGCAAAGGAAACAACAAACAGTTCTCTGAAAGCATTTCTGTCGGACACGGGAGCTAAAACAAAGCTCCATCTGTCTCATAACGTGTCTCCCCTAGGGGCCAGGAGCATTGCCTCAGGTATTTACCTGCAAGTAAAAAAATATGGAACACGCTTGTCTCTATGCTAAAGGTTAGATCTGAACTACAGTGATTAATAGCCCCTGACAACGAGAACTGAACCATCAAGCTAGCATTCAGAAGGTAATAAATAGACCTAAAGACCTAGATATTGTTGAACAGCATATGACCTATTACATCACCTATTGAAGACATGCAACTAAATACCCAAAGAGAAAAGGAAGGTCAACTTGGACACATTTCAGGTGTGGAAAAAAACAAATTAACCTTTTGTTGCAAGCACGGTCGTAATACGCTGCTCTAAGGACAAGATTAAAAATCATCTTCAACTTTACTAGCCATGGTTTCTGAAATACTGGAACTTATACACAAAGTTGGCAATAAAACAGATAAGGGACAATGCCCAATACTTTGAATAAGACAACCCTATTTTCAGTTGCTTTTTGGGGTTGTTTTTTTTTTTTTTGCAAAACAAGCTAAAAACTTCAGTAAAAGTGATTCTACAGTTCCCCAAGAGATTAAGAGAAGTAGTTTGCCCATACAATGCACATTCTTCTACAAGTCTCTTGATATGAACCAGTGGGACTCCTACAGCTAAAATACCTGTGCACCTCCAGCAGTAACATGAAGTTCCATGTGAAGGAAGAGCACGGGCTCCATCAGTCATATTAACAATGTACACTGATGTCCCGTCCACCTCACCCCATCCAAATTTATCCTCACGTTGGAATCCAGAGCATAAAACTTTAGCAAAACCCTGCCTCAGCACCATCTTTTCCCTTTGCTTTTAAACTTAGCAAGTACATGAAATAGCTGAGCCTCAAGAAGATCTCAGCATACATATGTTCACACATCTGTTTGGAGTTTGTCTGAGGAATGCTCTGAAGGCTGTTTGCACTGGGCAGTCTCTGGGTAGAGAAAATCATTTCTGCTGTGACTAGTGTTCAGCTACGAGGACCTGGCCCTTCTGCTCTCCTTAACAGGGCCCGTGAAAGCTGTGGCAGCAACGGCTGGACAGCAACACTTGCAAACAAGGGACACACTTGAGTTGCTCTTGCTTCAGGGATCACCACTATGACAGATGGCCTCTCACTGTACCCTTCAACCATGCTGAATTCAAGACATGAAAAGAATGCCTCTATCAAGACAGCTTCTGCATCTTTGGCAGAAATCTTCAAACCTGCCTTCTTGAGTATGTGACAGTTTCCTAACTAGGCCACTCATTTTAATATGTTTTCACATAACTAACACTAACCAGAAATTATGTAAAGCTCAGCTCTTCTGAACGCATGTAACATCAAAAAATGTGTCAGGTATCACAACAACAATCTGTTAGGAACAGCAGAATCTATATATAGCTTAATATCTCCTGAGCTCAGATGCATATTAGCAGCCTGTTATAGCCGTAACTACCACAGGATTTATCATACTGTCATCAGAAAGTTAGCCCACTCTATACCTATTTGGAATTTTAGCTGTTATCTGGTATGATGCTCAAGGAACACTGGATTTTATACACAATGTACACTCCATCACATTCAACAATTAATGCAAGCTACTATAGTATTCCCTGTTTCAAAGTTTAAAGCTTAAAAAGCAAAACTACACTTTGAGGAAAGAATACTGACTTGGGCTATTTTCACAGGACATCACTGAATTAATCTTGGAGGTGATTTATGGAGACGCGTTGCACACAGCTCCTATCAAAACCAAGCACAACATGAGCCTGGTCTGGCCCACGGTGTTTATATTCATTTCCAGTTTGCATCACAAAAATAGATGATCTGTAATCATGGCCTGTCAGCTTGGTTTAACAAAATGAACATTTCTTTCAGGCTGTGTATACCTCCACCAGCTCTGTATATTGGCTTAATAAAACAGTAGTTAATCTGAGTAAGAATGTTAGCTTTCTGTCTCAAAATAATACACTCAAGTTTCAGGATCGCTTCATTTTAGAAGCTACATGGATGATGAATGACAAATATTTACAGGTTTCAGAATTAACTAAACTGCTCTTTGATCCTCCTCACACAGCTACAGTCTGTGGTTTTGTAGGTTCACACATTCTCTCCACGCAAAACCTCCTTCCCCTCAACACTGTCACTGAGACAGAAGATGAATGTTTAGTGCAGAGCATGACTGTGATTAAGCTCCCAGTGCATTCTTCATCTGTAGTCCACCTGGTAGCGCTTCTCCCCTGCTCCTCTCTCTCCTATGGGAGAAGTCTGTAGTTGATGTATAGAGCTTTGCAGAAAGGTGTCAGATTAAAAATCTCAAAGACCCTCCAAAACTTAAGATCTCCACATGCTATCCCTTATTAAGGGATAAAAGGTGAAACGTTTTAGGGCTCTGCCCAATCTCTTTTACTTGCTTGCATGTTTTGATATTTAATTCATAGTTGACAGAACTGCCTGAATTTTATGAAAGTTTATCAAGATGAAAACAAATGCATGTGTTTTTACAGTGTATCACTAACATTCTCTGAAACATCCCCTCATGCAAAAAGCAGCAACACCACAAAGCACAAGGAAGCTGTTTCTTGTCAGGCCAGTATTTACCCTACCACACCAGGAACAGAACAACTTGTACAATCAACTGGCAGCACCCACTGCTCCCACGCACCCATCATAGGGTGGCAGTAAGGAGTACTGAAGGCAGGGTGGACCTATTTAATTATGTCAAGAAGCATAGAAGAAACAAGCCCCAGTTAAAGTTCTCAACCAGAAGTTAGCTCATCCTGTCCCCCAGAACTAAAAGCTTTTTGCAGTCTCACGTAAGTGGATTATACATCACGTTAGAACATCAGTTTTCCAAAGATGTATACTAAAACCTGTGCTACCCAAGTAGCACATTGCACAGCCAAGGTATCAGGCACCTACACGGCAGTCTACACTGAGGACAACGGGCACCCCAGTGCAAAGTGTCTCTGGTATCTCTGTATGACCAGGAAAAACTGACTCTCCTTCTCAAAAAATCTCCCAAACATCTGCACATTCTCAGCTTTGAGCGAATGATTTCCTTCCAGCAGTTGTGTGTCTCACATGCTTCTCTCTTCTCTTGCTAGTTGTGTATCCTTGCAATTTCCAGTCATGGGACGGGTGACATGGGAAGGGACCCCTGCAGATGCAGTCCAACACCCCGGTCCAGCAAGGGCGGTTGCAGCATGTTGCTCCGAACTGTGTACAGTCAGGGTTTAAATAGTGCCAAGGTGATCTCCATCAGCCCTCTGGTCAGCCTGTTCCAGTGTTCTACAGCCCTGGCAGGAAAAAAAACTGTCTTCCTTTTATATTTAGATAGATTTTCTTGTTTTTCAATTGCACATTGTCTCCTGTCCTGACACTGGGCACCACTGAGAAGCCCCTGGCTCTGCCTTTTTTAGTCCCCTTCATCAGGTATGTATATACACTGATAAGATCCTCTGAGCCTTCTCTGCTCCAGACTGGACAATCCCAGCTTTCTCAGCTTCTCTCCATGTGTTAGATGCTCCTTAATCAACATCATGGCCCTTTGCTGGACTCATTCTGGGAAGTTCATGTTGCACTGCTCAACTGAAGATAAGGCTCACCTCCCCCAACCCGCTACCAATTCCCTACCCAAAGCAGCCCAGGATGCTGCTGGATGCCTTTACTGCAAGAGCATGTTGCTGACTTAGGGTTATGTTGTCCCCCGGGGACCCTCAAGTCCTTGTCTGCAAAGCTGATCTCCAGCTGGCCAGCCCCAGCAGGTACTGCTGCAGGGCATTATTATTCCCCAGGTGCAGGATGTAGCTGAGCTCCATGAACATGCTGGCCTACTTCTATAAACTGGTGAGGTCCCTCTCAACAGCAGCAAAACTATCTGGTATATCAAACACTTCGTTCTAAATCTTGAAGTTTTCAGCTTCTGAATTTGGAGGCTAAAGCAAAGTTAGATGCATAAACTACAGAGACATTTTGTTAAAGAAAAGTAAATCTGTAACATATTTCCCTTCCACAACACCAGAATGTCTTTCACAGAAATGGAAGACTTCCTTAAACTTGAACTCACTCATGTAACAACTCAACTTCAGTGTAATCACTAGAATAAGATGATACTGACAAGTCTTCCTTCAGGCCCAGCTTCCATCTGGGATTTCTGGTTTACATTTTCCAGTTGTCTGCAGAAGGAATATCTGTTATAGACACAGAAGAACTACATCTAGCAACACTCACTTATTCAACTAACAGACTTCTGCTTTGCAGGGAAAGAGGATAGTGGTAATCTAGATAACATTTATTTTACAACTGGCTACAGTTTATTCTATGCGGAGCATAAGGACTATCAGACACAGATTCCTGTTCCCCTATTAACCTCTATGAACCACCTACTCCTTTAAAAAAATCAAGCAATTTTCCCTCCCCCTTGGTCTTTGTCTACCACCAGTATCTGCTAAAGCTGTCAAATATTCCCTTTTCCAGTGCTTTCTAACTTCACAAACTCCTGCTGTCTCTGAGCTCCAACCATTCCCCCTTACAATTGCAGCTATGCATTGCTGTACATGTGCAGAACTTTTTAAGCTATCAATCTATGCATTGATGTGTTGCAAAAAAGTTTTCACATTTGCATCTAAAGGCTCCACAAATCACAAGCTGGAAGTTTTCCTCCTTGTCCAAGCATATAACCAAAGATGCAGTACAGCAACATCACAGCCAAACCTACATCGAGTAACGGAGAGTGGAGCAGCCCAAATCCCACTGCACAGCAGAGAATGCCCTATTTAATAAGCCACAGGAAAAACTCCCATTTAGGCAATCCATAACAGACAGCAGGATCACCAAATCACAAGTGTTTCCAGCAGTACTGTATAACATGCAGCAGGAGGAAACTACTGTGCTAGAATGCAGTCGACTTCAAAAATACTATTGCCTACAAAATTCCTTCTTTTCACACTGTCTTGTGTGGTTGCATAAAATCCTTCTGTGAAACTGAATCTAACACCCCTTCCATCCACCCGTTAATTAAGGAAAAAACAGAAAATGTGGAAAGATTGCATTATGGTAAAGCAGAATGTACCAGTTGTGTAAGAGCCTTTGGAGAATTTCCAGCTCTATTGAAACTTCCCTCTTCAGAGGAAGATAAAAAAAAGGGGTCAGAAAAGGCCTAAATTACCTTTCTGATTATGGAAAGGCTTTACACAATTCACATCACACATTAAATAAAAATCCTCAGAAGCTAAGCGAGGTTTCACAGGAGCCTGAAGCACTGTGAATTCCTGAAAAATGAATTTAATCAGCAAAGCTGAGACGAGGCAGAACTGTTCTACATAACAAAAAAGTTCTCAGCCGCATTATTAAAATCATTGCTTTAAAAGATCAATTTATTTCAAAGGGTTGACTCCCTTCATTAGAAGTTATCAAAGACACATGATCTAAAAGGAGTCTTTATCAAGCATGCTGCCTGTCTGTTGTGCCTGCAACTGTGTTAGGACTGCAATGCCTATCACCATTTGATGTATTTGTGGGTCTGTTTGTATCTAAACATAGACACGAGATGGTTGCAAAGCCTGGTAAAGACAGAAAATGACAGGATTGGTAATACACACAAACGATTTAGTAACTGTAGTAATGTTTGTAGTTCTTTAAACTTTTTATATAAACTATTAGATTCCATTTAGTCCCCATTCTAAGCCAAAACCTGTAACCTGAAGCACACAAAATAACCTGTACATACCCAACAGCTTTAACCAAAACACACATAAAGGAACTATAGAAGGAATGACTTTCATCACCACCCCTCCCCAGCTTTACTGGAATAAAACAAGATTAATGTACACATTTGGCCTATGGATTCTGCTTAAGTGTAATCTAGATGACCAAGAAATGCAACTGGATTTTCTAAGACCAAACTGCCTCACAGTATCTAGCATGTTTTCTGACTCTGCTTAAAAAAAAATCATCACTTAACAGGATTTACATCTCTCCAGTTTTCTCTCGTCTTTTAAAAACACAGATAGCTATTAAGGCACTCAATAAAGAACTGCCCAGCTCCTTTAATATCTCACCATCTGTATTTGACTCCACTTGAAAGATGTAATTCTGAGTCTACTGTTTGTGAAATATTGAGATATAAATCTTTATGATGAGATTTTCAACGTATAAATAACAGAAGACCCCGCTTCCTTGCTGCTTTGCTAACTGCACTATCGCTTCCCAGTAACTATGGGAAACCAAATGAAATCTGAATCCATTCATCAAAACAGAAAATACTCCTTCTTTCACTGAGGGAGACTGTGCTTGCAGTATCTAAGTCAGTAAACAGCATGCCCTTTCCCACTACTTCAATGTTAGGTCATTCTTTATACCTGCTGATAACAAGCCATAACAAAGTAGAATAGAAAGACAATCAGACACCCAAAATAACAATAATCATAAAGAAGTCTTTTCCTCCTTCCATGTAGGAAACACTGGCATATCTGAATCAGAATAGTGTTTACCATGACATGTCTTGCTATATATGTTGTTTACAGGGAGCAACTATTAAGCTTTACATTTATACTACAATCCAATGTACAATAATCTGATTTTAGAATAGACCAGGCATACACTCAAAATGGCAATTCTAGCTGGATACATTTAGGCTTATTAATTTGGACATGTGTGCACAAACCCATTTACTTTGGTAATTCAATTTTCTAATTATCAGCCGCAAGTGAAATGCTAGGAATGCAACCATAGAATACTATGGGTTGGAAAGGACCTTAAGATCACCTAGTTCCAACCCTCTGCCATGAGCAAGGATACCATGCAGTCTCTGCAGCTCCCCTGTCTCACCATGACAGGAGACTGCAAAGTTTTTACAGAATACAGCATTTAATATAAATAAGTATGCAGAGATCACAGAATGGCTTGAGTTGGAAAGGACCTTAGGAT